CGCGCTCACACTCACTCTCACACACACACACACACACACACACACACTTGCGAACTTCCCGAAGCACTTCCTTTTGGTGGAATCTTGAGCTGTGTTCTATTTGTGAAGTGGACGAGTGAGGTTTATCTGGACAGACCCTCAACCCCTTGTTTTTGAATGAGAGAGTGAGTCTACTTCATACGTGCTCTTCAGGCAGCTTTATAGACCACAATGCAACACAGGTATTGCTTAAAAGCTATTACATAAGCAATATTATACATATGACCGGTGAGCGTGATTTGACCAAGTACAACATGTTCCTGGATCAACATCCTTGTTGATCCTGGAACAACATTCCAATTAACCAATCAGAATTGAGGGATAACTTTTCAGGAAATATCTGTTTTAGATTAACGATCAGGATTAGGTGCTTCTACACTCTTGTTAATCAGCTATTATTTCACACTGATTTTAGGAATAAATGATGGGTAAGGTTAGGTTTAGGGGTGGGGATTGGGTTTAGTCTTTAGTCTTTAGTATTTTTGGACAGTAATGTTGATCCAGGATCAACAAAAGAAGTTGATCCAGGAACATGTCTAATGAGCTAATGAGCTATTAAGAAGGTTAAAGGTTTATTTCTATAGTGCCTGGACGCCTCCATGTCACTAGGGTAAACTGTCGTACGATTTGTGTTGATTTAATTAATAACTCAAAATAACAGTCAGGACTTTCTTTCACAGTCGCAGCACAACCTGTAAGGTTTCAAATGTTTCACCTGCTTGACGGCGTGTTCTCTGCTCTGAGGGGAATCTGAAGGAAATGTCCCCACAAGGATAGTAAAACCTGACATTTTTGACAATTTTTGACCCACGGGGGGGGCGGGGATTAAAAACAGTAAATGATGTTTATCTGAAAGTGTAACAATGCAAACAGGTTTTCTGTAAGGGGTAGGTTTAGGGAATAGAAAATATCGTTTGGTCAGTATAAATGTAATAGAAGTCTATGGAAAGTCCACACGAAACAAATGTGTGTGTGTGTGTGCCACGTTAAATGTTCAGTGTTTTTTCTCTTGTTATTGTTGGATTTTAACTTGCAACCTACATTGGCTGGACAAGAAACTGTAAATAATACCTTGTAAAATCATATTTTAAGATTTTATTCAAACTAATTTAATTTAGTTTGTCACTGTTACTGTTCATGTTGATGTAGTATGACACAGTAACCTCAAGAGGGCGCACTTACTGCATATAAGTCCATATACAGTGGGTACGGAAAGTTGTGTGTACATTAATGAGGAAAAAAAATTAACTTAAATGATTTTAGCAAATGGCTGCAATATAACAAAGAGTGAAAAATTTAAGGGGGTCTGAATACTTTCCGTACCCACTGTATATATATAGGTTTCATTACAAAACAAATGTTATTTTGTGTAGAATCTGGACTAAGTTTCCATTCGTTAACGTTAGTTACATTTGTTAACATGAACTAAGAATGGAAAATACGTCCAAAGCATTTATTATTCTTAGTTAATGTTTATTTAAACATTTCTTAATACATTATTAAAAACAAAAGCTGTGGCTGTTAATATTATTTAATGGATCTGAGCAACGTGAACAATTAATAGTTAATAATTCACGTTAATAAAACAAAATTGAATACATACTATAACAAATTGCTCATTGTAAATGTTACTTAATGCATTAACAAATGCTAACTAATGAGACCTGATTGTAAAGTGTTATCTATATTTTATATACTTATTCAAACATACATAAATCATTTTAAGGCTTTATTAAAACTGATGTCATTAATGTTACTGTTCATTTAAATGTAATATGGCACAGTAACCTCAAGAGGGCGCACTTAAAGTATATAATTCCATAGCAAGCATTATTGGTTTCATGTACTATACATATTAGTAGTTATATCACGTAGCTGTAAAATCTCTCTCATTATATAATTATTCTTTTATTTCTATATTTCTATATTTTTTCTTAAGAATCATGTGGCACTGTCAAGACAGTGAGAGGAAGGAGTTGCAAACATTAAGACCACATGAGACAGAATTAATAATGTTAATCTTTCTTAATCTTTCTCTTTTAAACCACAACTACACAGGGCAAAGGGAAGAGGGCAAAATGCAAACTGGGTTTCTCCGTTCATCCTCATTCTACCAAGAGCATCTTATTAGCCTAACATTTCATGTGAAGAGGAAGTATTCACTATAACTGGAATATTACATGATTAACGGCACATGATATACAGGTTGATTAACACTTTATAAACAGAATAATCTGATAATAATTATTCTAGTCTGATTATTCGGTGCTACAGTACTATACTGCAATGGCACCATAGTGATATAGTCTTCAATTTGTTGATTAAAAAATGCATGAAGGGAAACAAAGATTCCCATTCCCACTTGAACCCCTGGAGCCATTATTTAAATGAAGGTGGAAATCTTGGCATATATCATACATCAGCTCCATACACACTGGCTCCATTTGCCAGTTGCTAGGATACCATTGTGCACCATCAGCATTCCATGTGCAACGAAACGTGCAGAACAATATGCATGCATATAAAATGCTTTGCAAAACTTGAAAGGTAATTTTTTAATATCACATAATCTGCCAAATAAGCATAATACATTTACCAAATATACATTTAGATGCACATGAAATAAATGAATTGAATTTGCGTAGAAATGGCAAAGTCCACTTTTGCTGCTAAACCATCCTCTTTCAGAACATTCTGAACTGCAAAGGGTAGAATAAACCATATCCATGCAGAGCTGTTGTAAATGACGTTGGTTTAACACTTTAATAGACATCAAGGAGTCCTTTCTTCATTAAAGAACCCATTGTCCCTGACATTAATACATACTAGTCTTATACAGTTATAAGAAACTATCATACAGTATATTTCAATTATAATACATGTTTTTTACAACCAAGGTTTTGACTGCCTGACAAATATAAACAATATTTATAAAGGTCCACAAAGAGAATGTGTTTAATGAAATTATTGAATTGTGCAATTGAACTGAAGTTTATCTGAAAGGTTGATGATAAATGCATAGCATCTGGAGTGAGAAAAATACTTAGAACGTCCCAAAACTTGCACAATGATCTTGCACTGTGAGCCTAGATTAATTCTAGTTATAAAACAGCCATCACCTCAAAATCTATACCATCTTCGTGTTTTTACATTTCTTGAAAACAATCCTGAAAAGTCAAAATGTCCGGCATCTGCTCCATAATTCTGTTCCTCTTATGTTGCATTGGAAAAGTTCAATGTCAGTTTTATCTTGCGGTGGAGCAAGTCTCAGTTGTTTGTGTAAGTGCTAGTCAAAATCAGATGTTTATCCTGAAATATGCATGGCTTATTTGTACAAGAAGAGCACCCTGAATCTATGTTTTGACCCCTTATTAATGTGTAGACTTGGGTAGGTCAGGTAATTGTCTCTTTCTGTTCTCAGGGGTCAATATGGAAGGCTAGGAGTTTCTCGGAGTGCTGGTTGTTGAGGGTACGGAGGTCAGGCAGACGTAGCAGGAGTTTGGGGAAGAGTGAGCTGTCCTCTGGCCTTCGTCGAGTGATGAGAGCGCGAAGAGCGCCGATCAAATCCTCCTGGAGCTGCTCTACGGCCCCCACATCTGAGATACCAGAACGATCTGATAGAGAGTAACAGAAATATTGTCTCTCGGATGTAAACATTACAGCTCTGGTCCAAACTCTAGTAAGCTGCCTTGCTATCGCTCTACACAAGCAACTACCTCAGACAACTAGCTCAGTATTAAAACCATACTTCGAATAATGCTTGCATGTGATAATTCTCTCAATTACTGGGAATCCAAGGTACCTGCAGAAGCCAGCACCACAGCCATGAAGAGGGCCATCTCATCGGCCTCCAGACCCATGTTCCCCAGCTTCTCACTGAACTCGAACATGGCGTCCAGAAGACCGCCCATGCCTAGCACTCGCAGGGATGCCAGCGGGTAGGTCTGACCATTCAGGAATGTTACGGTACGCTCCTTGGCATCAAACAGCGAGCAGAACCTCACCATTAGAACCTGCAATAAAGTGACAGTGAAAGTGACAGTGAAAGTGACATGTGGCCAAGCATGGTGACCCATACTTGGAATTATTGCTCTGCATTTAACCCATCCAAAGTGCACACACACAGCAGTGAACACACACCCGGAGCAGTGGGCAGCCATTTATGCTGCGGCGCCCGGGGAGCAGTTGGGGGTTCGGTGCCTTGCTCAAGGGCACCTCAGTCGTGGTATTGAAGGTGGAAGAGAGCGCTGTACATTCACTCCCCCCACCTACAATCCCTGCCGGTACGAGGCTCGAACTCGCAACCTTTGGGTTAAGAGTCCGACTGTCTAACCATTAGGCCACGACTTCCCCAATGTATGTATATGTACATGTATATGTACACCAGAAACAAACTACTCGCAACCTTTGGGTTACGAGTCCGACTCTCTAACCATTAGGCCACGACTTCCCCAGAGGCTGGCCCGTATAAACCACATGATGAGGCAACAGGGTCATGAAGGAAAGGAATCTCTGGACCGTTTTATTAACGATTACTTCAAAAGAACTGATTTGAGGACAGACGTTGGCGTTTCTCACCTGAAAGGTTCCTGCCTTCAGCAGCATGACTTGATCATGTTGACTCAGGGCCTGAAACCCTGGAATGCTCTTGGCAAATTCAACCACTTCTTTAACAGCTGGAGTGAAGCACTGGGAAAAACTCTCCCAAACCTGTTGACTGGAGTGACTGGCTGGGGAGATGGGACATGCATTGAGAGGACATGCCTAAAAAAATACAGAAAGAGAAAGAGACCATTTTAAGTTATAGAACATAGTAAACTAAGACCAGCAAACAAATCATATGCCATCATAAAAACATACCAGAACTTTAGCACCAGGGCTCGGTCTCCAAGGACAAGACGTTTGAGTGGAATAATTGTTGTGCTTCGATGGATAGCTTTGAGAAGGTGTAGTTCCCTGACTGGGACTTGAAGACTGTGGGAAGTTATAGTGACTGTTGTCCATAACTCGGGTTGTCGGTTTTCTGTGGTGGTTGGCGACTGGGCATCTGGATCGGGGTAGACAGCTTGTTGTGGAATGGATGGAATGATCTTGGGGTGAGATGCTTGGCTGAGGGCGGGATTGGCAGTAGCCGGACTCTTGAATTGGATTATGGCGGAAGGAAGAAGGATTGTTGTTATTGATGTTGTCGTCATCGTTAATCTTCACTAACAACTTCTCCCCGTTCACAAAGATATTGTGATAAGCTTGCGAGGTAGCACTGATGGCCTCTTCTGACTGGCCATCTTCAGGGCTGGAAGGACTCTCGGTGGGTGTAGTACAGGTGATGTCCATGGACGCTGATTCATTAAGGCTGTTCATGTAACTCTGCATTTCGTCCAGTAGGCGTTGTTTCTCGCGCTTCGGAATGCGCCCAAATCGCACAGCTGGAAAAAATGGGGGTATAAATGTTACTATACAGAATGGTGATACAAAAAGGTGTCCATTATCTTACAGCTTTACAATAATGCATTGTGGTATAAGAGGCTGTGCTGAATTGTGAATATAGTAATGGCTAAATGGGATTGTTAGATGGGCAGCAAAACCTTGATTGCCTTTACTGATTTATAAAAAGGCCATTAAATACAAATCTTTAATTAAAAACTTCCTGTAGACCAAAAAGGGGACAGTTTAGGCCAGTTGTGGCCTAATGCCCATTGCTCCAGGTGTGTGTGTGCTCACTACTCACTGCTGTGTGTGTGCACTTGGATGGGTTAAACAAATGTGTTAAACTGAGTTTAGCTCCAACCCCTAAACACACCTGAACCTGCTAGGCATGCTAAAAACTTTCAGGTAAGTTGGAGCTAAACTTTGAAAGAAAGTAGCCCTCAAGGCTACAGTTTGGACATTCCCGCAGTAGAGCATGGCACTAGCAATGCCAAGATCATTGGTTTGATTCCCAGGGAATGCAAGAACTGATAAAATGAATGCCTTATTTTTTTTTTTCACAAAAAGATATAGTCCCTGCTATGAACTCTAATGGCCCAGGTTTTTGTAATTTTCCATGTTCATTCCATCTCGAGCACAGTAAGTATACAACTTTGACCGGATAGATGCTTTGGACTCTCCAGACAGTCCTCAAATCTCTCGTACATGTGCTGTTGTCCATGCACAAGTCTGTACAGACACAAAAAATGGGCTGCCTGTGGACTTCATTGGACAGTGCTGATTACGAAATTTATAGCACATAGACAGGGACGTTTAAAAGGGAAGTATACTTTCAGCCTAAGGTTAACAGTTTCCTCTATGGATGCTGCGCAATGGCATACAGTACACAGTAGAAAGAGGTTCCTGTTTAAGTTTACTATCTTGCATTTACACATTTGGTAGATGGTTTTACCGATTACGGCTGCTGTGCAAAGCTTCTGTTCTACATCCCCCACGTTTTCTCATCCAGTCTCCCCTACTCTACCTCTATGAGCCATTTACAGATCCTACTACTGTATAATACACCTCCCCCATCCTTCT